TGTAACCATGGATTCTGGTATTCTCATTTCGTGGTTCAACTCCCAGTTTTGTCACTTAGAAATGGAATTCTACTTATGTATGTTTCTGCTTTCTCTTTATTTTATTTTCTTAGGATTTATTTATTTTTGTACATAAGAGCTGGGGTATAGGCCAGAGGTGGGCGGTGGTGTTGAGAGGATCCACCAGAGACAGAGGTGGAAGCAAAACAGGCGGATGGACTGAAATACACTTCTGAGGGGAGCAGCAGGGAGACAGGAGAGGTCTGCTGCGCCATGTGGGTAGCTCCCTGGCCGGGGATCGAACTTGTGTTGCAGTGGCTGCCAATAGTTTCATAGTGCTGAGACTTAACCCCTTGCACCACCAGGGAGGCCCCTGTTTTCTTATTTTTAAAAAGAGGTTAACAGCACTACCAAAGTCATTGACTTATTGCGAGAATAATGTGTGGAAAGCACTCAGCACACGGCGTAACACAATAATATATTCATATCAACAGATATACTATCAATTGCCATCAGACATGAATAGAAGTTATAATTAGATTTCACCTTCAAATTTTATTTATTTTTTTTCAAAGATTTACTTATTTATGCATACAAGAACTGGGGTGAAAGCCAGAGGTGTGTGTGGGGGGAGGGTAATGATAGGATTTACCAGAGAGAGTGGGGAGCAGAACAGGCAGATACACTGAAATACACCGCTGAGGGGAGCACAGGAGAGGTCTGCTGCACCATGTGGGTTTCTCCCTGGCTAGCCAGGGATGGAACTTGTGCTGCAGTGGCTGGCGATAGCTGATAGCTTGATAGCACTGTCTTTAATCCCTGCACCACCAGGGAGGCCCTCCACCCTCAAATTTTATTTTTTTTTTAAGTTAATTTATTTATTTATGCACACAAGAGCTGAGGTGTAGGCCAGAGGTGCAGGGGTGAGAGGATTCACCAGAGACAGAATGGGGAGGAGAACAGGCAGATCTACTGAAATACACTGCTGAGGGGAGCAGCAGGCAAGACTGGAGAGGTCTGCTGTGCCACGTGGGTTGCTCCCTGGCTGGGGATTGAACACATGCTACAGAGGCTGTGGACAGCATCACAGAGCTGTGTTCAACCACCTGCGCCACCAGGCTGTCAATTCATGCAACAATTCAATAAGATCGAAAGACAAAAACAGATCATACTCAATAAACTAGCATTTTCTTTTCTATTTTTGGCTAAAACAATGCATCTTCCCTCATTCGTTTAACCACAACTTAGTGGACCCAAATTTTACAGCCTCTAAATTGTTTGTACCTTCTTGATGGGCCAAGGGCGCCCTCTGCCTGAGTATGAAAGCATCCACGCTAACTTGAATATTTTTTAAAAGCTGAAGCTTTCTAAAGTAAATTATAATCCACAATTCTATGAAATTAATCCTCTCTCTAATCACGGCCGGAGAGAGGATTAAACACAATGTAATGCCACAAGAGCACCAGATAGAGCAAGTCCACATCCATGCAATATACCTGGAAATTTGGAAAGAAAGCTGGGAATTTGGAAAGAAAGTCCATGATATTTTTCCCAGAATCTATTCCATCTCATTCAATAAAAATTTTGGCATGAAACACCTCGGTAAGTATGTCGATCTCTTTGTTGTTCTGTGTAAAACTGTGCACTTTACTTAACATGGCATGGTAGCAGTCTGCCCAGTAATGAGTATCACCAACATTAAATATTTATTGGGTATCTTCTGTGTGGAGGCCACTGCACTGGGTGAAAAGAAGGAGGGGAAATTCTCTGTCCTCGAAAAAAAAGACAATCTACTTTCTAAAAAGGATGTGTAAAAGGGATGTGTACAAAGAAACAAACAGTAAAATGCAAATTGAAAAAAAGGGGCTTCTCTCAGTTTGCTGCAAATAATTGTGACTTAATAATTTAAAGCTATTCAATGTTTTTGCTACCATGAAGCTTAGCATTAAATCACCAAGTATAACATAAATTTAACAATTTCTTTTATTTGCAGTTGAGTAGACACTGAGCCTCTAAAATCACTTGAAACACATTTTTTTCTAACTTTTGTCTTTTTGTGAAATTGTTTACTTTACAAACTATGATGGAATGGCTCAAATCTTTCCACTACTATTTCTATTATTGTATTGTAATGCAATATAAAGTATAGAAATATTTGGAAGCTAGAGTTTACCAGTTCTGAAATTGATTCTATTTTTTTTTTAAGTTTTCTTGTCAAAAGTAATAAGATATAAGTAAAATATAAACTAAGGGTCTCCCCTGGTGGCGCAGCAGTTGAGCGCTGGGCTGTGAGGCTGCCTGCAGCCTCTACAGCGCCGGTTCGATCCCTGGCCACCGGTGAGAGGCCCACATGGCGCGCAGACCTCTCCTGCCACGCCCACTGCTCCCCTCAGCAGTGTATTTCGTCAGTCTGTCTGTTCTGTTCCCACCTCGGGTTCTGGTGAATTTTCTCACCCTCCCGCGCTTCTGACTGTACCCAGTGCTTGTATAAATAAATAAATCTTTAAAAAAAAAAAAACTATCTTTGCAACATTATATGGAAAAAAATAAGCTAAAAGTTATGTCTGTCTTTTTATTTCAAATAATTAAAGCTGATATTTATTGAGCATTTACTATGTGTTAGGCACACTTTCTCTGATCATTATTTCATTTACTTCTTACAGTTTCAAAAGAGATTATATTATCGCCACGTATCACACAAGGAAATGGTTAGAGAGGTTAAGAAAATTGCACAAGGAAGGACTGGTTGACATTCTCATTCTTTCTACAAATTTTTCAGTTGCTACTGAATTTGAGTTTCAGCTTTATCTTGCCTCATATCTAGGACTTGGAGGAGAAATGTTAACACACAGCAACAAGGAAATGGTAGAGAATTAACAATCTAAGACAGCTAAGCCTTGATCATATTGTTATAATTATACTGAGTATAAATATATCATACTGAAGCTTATATATCCTGTTTTATATCAAGCTTTTGAGTTCTTATGGGGTAAAAAACCATAATTTTGATAAAATATGAAACAGGTAATTAAACCTCTAAATAGCACACACTTTGTAAGATGCTGAAACACTTGTAATTATTCAAGTAATCATTCCTGATGATTTCATTTACACACATATTTGTAAGTCTAAATAAAATGTACAAAGGTAAATACCAAATTTTTAACTTCCTGTTTTCTATCCTTAAAGCATGATTTCTTGGGCTTGTGAAAACGTTTTACATAATTGCATTACAAACTTTTATAATTAATGTAATCATATTTGAAGAATGTAATAATTTATAATTTGATGCCTTTATTTATTATTTAAAATACCTCTTGTTGGTGCAGCTTTACACCCTAAATAAAAAAGTAAGATACTTCATACTAGCTTCTGAATTTGCTGTCTCTTGCAACTCATCTAGATTTATTCTGGATGAGTCACAAAGCAAGAGTTTGGATTGTAAGAAAAAACAAAAATTAAGTGACACAGGAGAGTGAAAGTGAATTCTCATAAATACTAGCAACTTATAAGAGTTACAGGTGTTTCACCATTCATTAGCACAGGTTCCATTTTCTATAATATAGGTACATTTTTATTGATGAGTAGAATTTTCATATAACATTAGGTTTTTCTCCCTTGTATCCATTTAAAGAGTCACATTTTCATTTTGATATGTAAGTTAAGACTTTTCTTTCAGACATATCTCAAAACCAGAAAATCTGCCTAATAGAAAGTTTTATTTAGTTGGAAGGAAGACTGAAAATGAGAGAAAATAAACACATTCTCCACAATCTCAGAGGTGACAAAAATCTGCAACATATCCAGTAGCTTCTACCATCCCTTAAAGAATCCGAAAATTGTACATAGTGAGTTATAAGTATTCTCAACAACCAGAGGAATGTTAATATGTTCTGGGTCTAGTTTCAATTATGTTCCTTATAATACAATGAAAGAAGGATTAATTGGTATTGTTGAATCTAGTAATTAAACCGACCCCAACAGACCATTATTTTTCATTATTTTGGTGAGGATATTTACAAGCAATTATAATCACTGATTTCTTGCAATTATTTCCCATTTTACAATTCTCTAACATAAAGGTGCCAGAAAATATTCTCCTTTTCGAGAAATGGCATGATGGAGAGACCTGTAGGGTATAGACATAAATGCAGAAATTTAGAAATTGATGGGTTTTGTGGTTTCTAAAGTCACAATCATAATGAGCCCTTAAAATCCCCACGCTAGCTTCCTTTAGTCCCACCGGATACCCGCTTCTGCCTCGTCAGCTCGGCTGGCTCCGCTCAGCTTCGGGTTCTGTGGGAGCCCACACCCGGCGCCCCGAGGCTGGGAGGGCCGCGACCCCACCGCACGCGCGCGGGGCCCTGGTGGGGACCCCCCACCCCCCACGCCTCGGGGTCAGGGGTGGGGTGGGACTCCGAGGCCTCTCCCAAAACATCCCTTAGGGGCGTTCCCTTTGTTCATTCAACCAACAAATATCCGTTCAACCTCAGATGACCCTTCAGAGGTGGAAAATCAATTCTAGCCTCCCTCGGCAGCGGCCACTGTCCAGGCCTTGCTAAGGACCCAGCCAGGGCGCGAAGGCCAACCGCGCCAGGGCCGCGCGCATCTTCTCGCCCCCTCCCCCCGCTCCCCTCCTGCCCACCTAGAAAGCGTCAATGGCAGACAGTGACCAGGGCCAGGCTTTATTGTTCTCGCCTCCGAGCCGACCTCAGGCCGGGTCCCTCCACCCCGGAGCCGCCACTCTCCCCACGACGGCCGGAGGCTTCGGCCGAGGCCCCGGCCATGGCGGACCAAGCCCCAGGGGTCCGGGAGTCCAGCCCCCAAATAGCTCCGGGCAGGCGGTGCTCCGAGAAAGGTCGCCGGGTGCGGAGTCCCAGGTGTCCGGGGGGTCCCTCCAGTGCGGCGGGGACCCGCGGGCCACACGGCGGAACTACAACTCCCAGCAGCCCCGCTGCCCGGGCCCCCGGAAGTGGAGCCAGGCTGGGAGGAAGCTGAGACCCGGCCCACAGGCCAGGGGTTAATTTAGCAGGAAAAAGGGGGCGGGAGGGACTGTAGGGGTAACCTGTCAGTTCGCCGCCATGAACGTGGTTTTTGCGGTGAAGCAGTACATTTCCAAAATGATAGAAGACAGCGGACCGGGTATGAAAGTTCTTCTCATGGATAAAGAGACGGTGAGTTGCTTTTGCTCCGTGTTTGCGAGGGAGCCCCCCTCCTGCACAGTGGCCGCTCGCATTCCACTGTGGAATTCAGCGTGTAATTAAAGCTGCTTAAAGGAGGGTCGGTTCTTCACACAACGAAAGGTTGTGTCGGACTTACCGAGTAGGTTTTGAGTCTCAATGGCTCTGACCACTGCCCTGAGGTTTCTTCTTGTACCCGGATAATTCATTGGGATCAGAATCCTCTGCTAAATGTGTCTGCCAAGAAATATGTGAGACACAGCAGTTGAAGGCTGTAGTGGTTCTGTTATTTCCAGTCAACATTGTGTTTTGAAAGTAAAGCTGAGATGTCAGATTATTATTTGTTGGCCACAGAATTTAAAAAAAAAAAAAACCAACAACTTTAAGTTGATGGGGAAAAGGGGGGGTTGGGGAAAGTTCAGGGATTGTTTGGGAAAGCTTGTTTTTCATTGTGGTGCGTTACCTACTTGCTCAGTATTTAAGTTGTGCAGCTAAGTATTAATGAAAAATATTTTAGGCCCCAGCTAAGTATTAATGAAAAATATTTACTGCTTGTTTTTATTGTCCTGGACTAGCATAATACTAGTTAATCCTTTGTCGTTGCAGACTGGCATCGTGAGTATGGTGTACACACAGTCAGAGATTCTTCAGAAGGAAGTGTACCTTTTTGAGCGCATTGATTCTCAAAATCGAGAGATCATGAAACACCTGAAAGCAATTTGTTTTCTTCGACCCACGAAGGTAGGACATTAACTGAGCTGTGTTCCGCCCAGGCAGTTACAGAACACAGCGATCTGAAAGCATAAGGAAGGCAAAATAAATTTCTGTTAATCATCATTCGTGGCATCATAATTATCCTGATTTATCAGCGTTTTAATCTTTGCTCTCCTCCTTTTCCCATTTCACTTCACTCCTTACAGCCAGTTTATCCTTCAAGAAAGTGCTCAGCTATTTCCAAAGCCACTAACTACTCTAACAGAGACCTATATAACTGTATTACTGGATTAATCTCCATACCTCCTAGCACATTGAACACCATTGCCATATCATCTCATGTACTTACACACTTATATCAGCGTCTTGAGAATTTATCATTTTTTTCATATGTATGCACACTTAGGTGTTCATTTTTTCAGTATGCATACTTGGTTCAATTTTACTACTACGATTAAATCTATTTTTATATCTCAGCCCTCATAGCCCTCCTTTACCTGGTCTGGTCGCCCTTATATATCATCCTCCTAGGTCCTGTCCCTGCTCCAGCCCCACAGCAGCTGAGTCTTTTCATCCCTCTACAGGTTCATTCCTGTCTTCCATTTATTCTCTTCCCCTAATTAAAGGTTCTTTAACCTGTCAGCTTTGATCCATCATTTTCTTAATCTGTCTTGAGTCTCTCATTTAAAAATCCTCTACTACTTCAATCTTATTTTGTATATTCTCTTGTTTTGCATTCATTGTCTGTGACTCCAGTGCACTCTTTTATCATGCTTGTGCCTTATGTACTTTCCCAAACACAAATCTGATGATATCCTCCCCACTTGAAATCCTTGAATGACTTCCCATCCCTTTTATGGTAGTTGTGTTCAGTTTTCATTGTGGCCTGCCCTATCCTGTGTCATCTAGTTCCTACCATTTCTGAAACCTCATTTCAAACCATTCCCCCTTCGCTCTTAGCCAGTTGTTCAGTCTTCTACATTCCATTGTGCCGCAAGGCCTTTGCACATGCTTCTTTCTGTTGCAGCCATCTTCACTTCCTCAGACAAATCTTTCCTGGCCTTGCTGACAAGGTCAAACTATCCTCTTACAAGCACTTATAGCCTCATCTTCTCTTTATTGCTTGTGATGGTCGAAGCTTTAGATGGTTTGTGTATTTAATATCTGTCTCACCTACCAGCAGTAAGCTCTCAGAGAGCAGCGATGATGTGTTTTTTCTCACTATTGTGTCCCCTTGCCTACCACAGAGAATACTCATAGTTCCTGAATGAATGACTACGTCAATTAATACTGTGTTATTCTGGTTTCCTGTTGTTTCACATTTGTAGCTCTTAGTCATGAAATTTTGGTTCCAAGAGGTAGCTTAGAGATAATCTAGTCCACCATTTCCTAACATTTTGTATTAGAGAACCTCCTTCACAGTTACATATATAGTCTCTCAAACTCTCTTAGGAATCTTTTATTTTGTTACTCTTGCCTTATGAGGCAGTAATTTTAGGTTTAAAATGTGTCCTTAAAAACAATTTTTCCTTAAGATTATATTAAAAAGTTAATGTCAAAATGACAATTTTTAATACTTTTTTCCCATTTAACAAGCAATATGCATTGTTTACATTTAATTCTGTAAGAAACTATACCATTTTTTTAACATTCAAAACTGGTATTTTATATCATGTATATTTTGGGGGCCACATTTATATCAGTACACAGACTCTCAGTAAATAGCTACATAAATCAGTGGGTGATGTTACTTTCTCACTTAAACAGTTCTCATATTTTGTTTCTAGGAGAATGTGAATTATCTGATTCAGGAGCTTCGAAGACCCAAATACAGTATATATTTTATTTGTAAGTATGTTATTTCACCTACTTCATTATAGAGCTGTATCCTAAGCTAGTATGTTCCATTGGGTACTTCTTAACATCAATAAGTTAATTGAATCCATCATTATAAGAATCTGGTGGGTTTTTTAGTGTCCTTTCAAAGTATCAGAAGTCTTGTGACCAACATTTTATTTCAGGTAGCTAAATATGATTTCCATTCATAGTGGATCATCTAGGTAAAAACATGTAAGTTTTACTTTGCCTTTCAAAATTCTTTGTTACTCAAAAGTTATAAATAACCACACTTTTTATGCTACCTTTGCAAAAAAAAAATGTATGCTTATTTTATATGTCTAAGAACTGAAGCATAAAAGCTGATTTATCTGTTTGGGGGGAGAGTATTTTTGTTTTGTTTTGTTTTGTTTTTGGTACGCTGATTTTAATTTTTTCCCCACCACCATCCCTTATATCTCCTTGTCCCTTTCTCCCTTTCTCCCCGCTCTCAACCTCAGAGCCCTGACTGCATCTTTTTCAAATTATCTGTTCATAAATGTCCAATATTTGTTTTTGTCATTCTGACTTGCTTTACTACCATAATTCCCTCGAACTTCTCCCATTTTGCTGTAAATGGCTGCATTTCATTTTTCCTTGTGACTGAATAGTGTTCCATAATGTGGCTAGGCCACATCATCTTGATCCAGTCATCTATTGCTGGCCATTTAGGTTGCTTCCAGCTCTTGCAAACAGTGCTGCAATAAACATTGTAGAGGAATAGTTTTTGCATTAATGGTTTTGTGTTCCTTGGATAGATAGCCAGGAGTAGAATTGTGGGGTCACACCATAATGCCATTTTCAGTTTTTTTAAATGAATCCAAAGCACTTTCACAATGGCCATACCAGTCTACCTTCCAACCAGCAGCAAGATAGGGTTCCTCTTTCCCCATGTATTCTCCAGCACTTGTTGTTGGGGGTCTTTTTAACACATGCCTTTCTCGTGGGTAGATGGCATCTCATTGTAGTTGTAACCTGCTTCTCTCTTACTAGAAGTAATGGACATATTTTCATCTGTTGGCCTTCTGATAACCTCCTTGCCAATTATCTGTTCATTTGTGCTGCCCACTGGGCTGTTTGTTCTGTTGTTGAACGGTGTTTTATATATCTTGGATATTAACCCTTATTGGTTATATATCATATGAATATTTTCTCCTGTTCAGTCACATGACCTTTTAATTCCCCCTCCCCACCCCCCGACCGGTGTAAAATTAACTTGAGGTAATCCTAGTTGTTTAATTTTGCTTTTATTTCCCTTCCATAGGGGTCAAGTCTCCAAAAACATCTTTATATATGTCATGGAACATACCACCAATGTTTTCTTCTATATAATTTATTGTTGCGGGTCTTACCTCCTCACCTTTAATTTGGAATGTACTTTGTGCATAGAGTTAGAGAATGATACAGCGTCACTCTTCTACATGTGGCCTTGCAGTTTTCTCAGCACCAACTGTTAAAGACACTCTCCTTCCCCCTTGTATGGCCATGGCTGCTTGATCATAAATTAGGTACTGATATGTATGTGGATTTATTCCTGGACTTTTGATTCTGTGTCATTGATATGTATCTATTTTTGTGTCAATACCATATAGTTTTTAATATTGTTGCTTTATAGTAAAGTTTGAAGTCAAGTAATGTGATTCCTCCATTTCTTTGGTTTTCTCAGGATTGCTTTTACTATTCAAAGCCTTTTATAGTTCCATATAAATGTCAATATTTTTTCAATTTTTTTAAAATTTATTTATTTTTATACAAGAACTGGGGTACAGGTCAGAGGCACAGGAGGGTGAGAGGATTCACCAGAGACAGAGCAGGAAGCAGAACAGGCAGATGGACCGAAAGCACTGCTGAGGGGAGCAGCGGGGAGACAGGAGAGGTCTGCTGCGCCATATGGGAATCTCCCTGGCCAGCCGGGAATCGAACCCATGCTGCAGAGGCTGCAGACAGCTTCACAGCGCAGCGCTCATCCCACTGCACCCCAGGGAGGCCCATTTTTTCAATTTTTTTGAAATATATTATTGCTGTTTTGATGAGGATTGCGTTAACTTTATGGCTTAGGCCCTGTATTCATTTTGATTATGTTGATTTCCTGTCTCCATGAGCATAGGATGCCCTTCTGTCTCCCTACTGGCACTCTCTAAATCCCATAACAACATCTTCTCATTTTCCCTGGATAAATGGAGGTTTCTTGGTTTCTTTTTCTTCACATTTGTTGTTTGTATATGGAAATGCTGTGGATTTTTGTATGTTGATTTAATAGCCTGCCACTTTGCTATGTTCATTTACTATTCCCAGTAGCTAGTTTTCTATATATAATAATATATTGTCAGCAAATAGTGATAGTTTCACTTCTTCCAACTTAGATTCCCTTTATTTCCTGTTTTTTCCTAATAACTTGGGCCAAAACCTGTAATATTAAGACAATTGGTAGCAGTGAGCATCCTTTTTTTGTTCCTGATCCTAAGGAGAATGCTTTCAATTTTTCACCATTAAATATTATATTGGTTGTTTGTTTGAAATATATTGCCGTTATTATGTTGAGGTAGGTTCCTTCTATTTCCATCTTATTTATATTTCCTTCCTTCTACTAACTTTGGATCTTGTTTGTTCCTCTTTTTCAAGTTGCTTTAGATTTAGTATTGGTAATTTATTTGGGAATTTTCTTGCTTCTTCATGTGGGTCTATATTACAGTTATCTTCCCTTTTACAACTTCTTTGCCTACATCCCATTGATTCTGGTAGCCTGTATCCTTATTTTCATTAGTCTTAAGGTGTTTTTAATTTTCTGTTTTAATTTCTTTTATCCAATAGCTATTAAGCAACATTTTATTTAGTCTACATGTACTTTTAGGTTTTCCTGTTTGTTCGTTTTGTTTTTTGTTAAAAATTTATTTATTTATGCATACAAGAACTAGGGTACAAGCCAGAGGTGCGGGCGCAGGGGGTAGTGAGAGAATTCACCAGAGAAGAGTGGGGAACAGAACAGGCAGATTGTCTGAAGTACACTGCTGAGGGGAGCAGCAGGTAAGACAGGAGAGTCTGCTGCGCCATGTGGGTTATGGAACTCATGCTACTGTGGCTGCAAATAGCTTCATAGTGCTGAGACTTAACCCCTTGCGCCTCCAGGGAGACCCCCTGTTTGTTTTTTAATTATAGTTGTTTCTAGCTTATGACATTATGGTCAGAGAGAGTACTTGATCTAATTTTGATCTTTATAGTTTTATTGACAGTAGATTTTATCTCAACATATTATGTGTCCTTGAAAATGTTCATGTGCACTTGAGAAAAATGTATATGCAGTGGTTTTTTTGGGTGGAGTGTTCTATTGATATCTGTTAAATCTGTTTGATTCATTGTCTTATTTAAGGCTATTGTTTTTCTTACTTTGTCTTGTTGATCTGCCCACAATCGTAGGTGGAGTATTAAAATTCCCGGGCCTCCCCGGTGGCGCAGCGGTTGAGCGCTGGGTTGCGAAGCTGCCGGCGACCTCTGCGGCGCCGGTTCGATCCCCAGCTGCTCCCCGGCCACCAGAGGAGGGTCCCACATGGCGCGCAGACCTCTCCTGCCGCCCGCTGCTCCCCTCAGCAGTGTCCTTTGGTCCTTCTGCCTGCTCTGCTCCCCGCTCTGGCTCTGGTGAATTCTCTCACCCTCCCGCGCTTCTGACTGTACCCAGTGCATGTATAAACAAAACAAACAAACAAATAAATAAATAAATAAAAACATGCCTCTATAAATAAAAAAAAAATATTAGTATAAAAAAATAAAAATAAAATTCCCTAGTATTATTGTGTTATTTTCAATATTTCTCTTTAGTTCTCTTAACAACTGTCTTATCTATCTTGGCACTCCATGTTTGGGTGCATATGTATTTATGAGTATTATTTCTTCTTCTTGTATTAGAACCTTAGTCAAAATGTAATGTCAGTCTCTATCCCTTATTATCTTTGCAAGATGAAAGTCTATTTTATCTGATGTAAGTATAGCTATTTCTGACTTTATTTGATTGCCATTTGCTGGTAGGATTGTCTTCCAGCCTTTAAGTCTAAATCTGTGCTTGTCTTGGTTGTTTTTGTTGGATAGGGAGAATATATTTGAGTTTGTTGGAAAAGTAGAGATTGACTTTACTTATTAGATGACTACATTCCACTTCTCTTTGCAACTTTATGTAATACTTGAAAGTATGAATCATTAAGTATTTTTTTATGGTACAACTTTGTTGGGGGAGGTTTAGATGAATAATCCTAGAAATAAAGTAAGATTATGGTTACTATACAATTTATATGGATTTATTTTATGTAATATATTCTGCTTTGGAAGTTACATCTATTCTCCTCTAGATGTCATTGTTGATCTTTATAGAATTAATATAGTTTATTCAGTGTCATTTTTAACACCAATAACAAAACTTAATATTCAGTAGGGCATTTGATAAGTTTTAAAGCTAACTTGAAGGTTTTTGAGTTTTAGGGTTAACACTATAGTTGAAGATATATATATAGTTTATTCAGTATAAACTATAGTTTTTAATAATACTAAAAATTAACATTTGTGATAAGACTTTGTATTTTATAAAGAACTTCCTTATGTATTATTTCACTTGGTCCTTACAAGAACCTCAAGAGGCAAAAATAGGCAGTTTTATTATAGATTGAGGTACAGTTGTAAGAAATAATAGAGATCCATATCCTTTTCCCCTGGTTTAACATCTTACATAACTATAGTACAATGTCTTACCGAGGATATTGACATTGATATAGCCAGGATATAAAACATTTCCATCTCCATAAGGATCCTTCATACTGACCCTTTTTCAGCTACATTCACTTCCCTTCCAGCCAACCCACTCATTAATCTTTGGCATCCACTAATTGGCTCTCCATATTTATAATTGTCATTTCAAGAAAGTTATATAAATGGAATCATACAGTCTACAGCCTTTTGAGGTTGAGTTTTTCACTCAACATAATTCTCTAAAGACTCAGTCAGATTACTGTGTGTGTCAGTAGTTCATTTCTTTTTATTACTGAATAGTATTTCTTGGTATGAATGTGCCACAAAGTGTCCAACTGTTCATCATTGAAGGGCATTTGAGTTGTTTCCAGTTTAGGCTACTATGAATAAAGCTGCTGTAAGCATTTATGTATAGGTTTTTGTTTAAGTCTTTAAACATAAGTCTTATTTCTTTAGAATAAGTAATGCCTGAGAGAGCAATTGCTGGTTTGTATGGGAGTTGCTAAACATTTTCTAGCGTGACTACACTGCTTTACATTTCCACTAACGAATACAGGTGATGTAGTTTCTTTGTATTGTCATGAATATTTGGTGTTGTCCCTACTTTTTATCTAGTCATTCTGATAAGTGTATACACATCCCAGTATTTTTTAGTCTGATCACAAGCTAAGTAGATATTATATATGTACAAAAATTTCTACATTTTCCTAAGTACCTAACTTATATAATATACCTGTATGTATCTACAGATTCCCTTTGCTGCCCAGTTTAAGTGACCTTATAACAGCATCACTATTTTGCTGAGTCTCTTAACTAAAAATTGAATAGATCATGAGTGAGACTCATTCTCTAAAGAGGGTTCTTTGATATAGCAGTTGGATTAACAATGATTAATAATGATTAATTATTAATGATTAATAAATACTCTTCTGGTTCTAAAGATTATTTGATTTGGGCTGTAAATCTAAGAATCAGAAGAAATATGTATATGTGTGTGTGTGTATATATATATATATATATATATATAAAGGTTGTTGACTAGGAAAAATAAACTAGAAGCAATCAATTTCACTACTTTAATTGAAATGTACTAAAATGACTTTGTATACAGTAATTTTGTTCTTTATACACCTTCAGCACAATTTATGTTAACACGAAATTGGCTTTCTGTTAACCTCAACTTTTTTAACTTTATTTTTGTATATTTTTATGTTTACTAAATCTCTTATATAATAGTTTCTGTTCTTTTATCAAAAAATAAAGGGCCTCCCTGGTGGCACAGAGGGTTAAGTCTCAGCACTATGTAGCTATCGGCAGCCACTGCAGCATGAGTTTGCAGCCACTGCAGCCAGCCAGGGAGCTGACCCACATGGTGCAGCAGACCCCTCCTGTCTCCCCGCTGCTCCCCTCAGCAGTGTATTTCAGTAGATCTGCCTGTCCTGCTCCCCACTCTGTCTCTGGTGAATCCTCTTACCCACCCCCACACCTCTGGCCTACACCCCAGTTCTTGTATACATAAATAAATAAAATAAATCTTAAAATAAATAAAGAACTTTTTATTATGAAAGTCTTCAAATATTTATAAAAGTAGACAGACTATCATAAATCCCAATGTGATCATCATCCAATTTCAACAATTAGTGTCCCATAACCAATCTTGTTTTAGCTGTGCTGCCACCTACTCCCCCACCAATATGATTTTTTTTTTTTTTTAACTATTTATTTATTTATTTACACAAGCAGTGGGTACAGTCAGAAGCGCGGGAGGGTGAGAGAATTCACCAGGGCCAGAGCGGGGAGCAGAGCAGGCAGAAGGACTGAAGTACACTGCTGAGGGGAGCAGCGGGCGGCAGGAGAGGTCTGCGCGCCATGTGGGACCCTCCTCCGGTGGCAGGGGAGCAGCCGGGGATTGAACCGGCGCTGCAGAGGCTGCGGGCAGCTTCGCAACCCAGCGCTCAACCGCTGCGCCACCGGGGAGGCCCTCCCACCAATATGATTTTGAAGGCATTCCAAGTTATCATATGATTCCATCCATAAATATTTCCGCATGCATATATAAAAGTTAAAGACATAAAAATACCGTTATTACATTTAAATAATAAAAAATAATTCCTATTTCCAACTATTCATTCAGTGTTCAACTTTCAAATTCTTTTGCCTTTGTTTTTATTTTTCATGGTTTGCTTGACTTAAGTTCATAGTACAGTCCACATGTTTCTTCTTCCCTCTTCCTCCTAGCCTTGTCCCCTTTTTTCCCCCCTTTTCCTTTCCCTTCCCTCCTCTTCCTTTCTCCCTCTTTTCAGTTTACTTTTTGAAGAAACTACATTATATCCTCAAATAACATTGTTTTGTTCAACATTATTTTATTTGTAACACTGATGAGAAAAAAAACAATACTGGTCCCTGTTGAATGAAATCATCATTATTCGAGAACCTGCTTTTGTTCTAAGTATCTCTTAGTTTACAAGAACCCCCCCAGTGATATTAAGTGAGGATTTACTGTGTCCATTGTTCTGTTAAAGTTTCCAACATCCTGGAGCTTGCTTATTGCATCCTCATGGGACAGTTTAACTTGTTCCTTGCAGTTGAAAATATTTTTATGCCCTCTAACTACTATAAACTGGTGCTTGGATATAGAGGCTGAATTAGATTCAAATTTAATTTCTTTTTGTCTAGAACACTTTACAGTGCTGGATGTTTCCATTTGATTCACTAGGGATTGAATACAGTGATGTCCTATTTCTATCATTAGCATATCTTCTTTTTTAGCTAAAGTATTTCTATAAAATATTTGGTTACCTGGTGGTAAAGTTTGTATATTAAAGTATAAAAATGTAATTCTTTCCCTTTATTTTGAATATGACTTAATCCCCTAGTATCTTCTAATGCCTACAATTGTGGGTTTTTATTTAATATTTTTTAATATTATTATGATTTTGTGGGTTTAAACATAGGCGTGTTACTCATTCCAGTGTGAATTTGATATATGCCACAATGGACACTAAATTTTACTTATCTGCTAGGCTTTCACTGTCAGATCCGTTTATGAGTAAGTGTAGCAGAGGTGAGCTCCTCAGCATCAATCACAACTCATATTTCTGGTTCAGATTTCAGTAATGTGATCAGCAAGAGTGATGTGAAGTCATTGGCTGAAGCTGATGAACAAGAAGTCGTGGCTGAGGTTCAGGTAAACATGTTGGTCCTCTAACACACCCTTCAGAGCAACCCTTTATAAACATTTCACTCTAAAAATTAGGAAGGTCTCAAAAGAAGGGAGGCTGTTGAGCAGGCACAGTATATGGGCACTGAACATGCTGTGTTCATGGGAAAGTTTGGAACAGTAGAGTCATGGGACTGGGGAGATTGGACTGGCACGTGATCCTGTTGGATGGGAAGGCAGGATGTCACAGGGTCGGGAACAGTCATGTATGTCCTCTGCTGCTTCATGAGCAGCACCATAAGGGTGTCCCTCATGACAGGACTGAGTGGATTGGAAGAGAATAGAAAGTAAAGAATGTAAATGAGGTTTCTTCAACTTTTGTTAGGGAGTCTCTTGTTTTGATAGGTCTTGATTTTGTCATGAGGTTAAAACTTGGAAACTCTAGAGATTCATTCTGCATGCTGTACAGTACACCACATTAAAGCACATCATGTTACCTTTTTCTTCTTAAACACTGCAGTGTCCTTGAATACATTTACCACAGATGTTTCATTAGGTTTGTCACCTAAGTAAAGGCAGCAAATAAAGACTTTTAAATGGATATAAATTGTAAAAAGTTAAATATTTTGGATTTTAAGAAGGATGTGCTAGGTGATAAATTAATAAAAAAAAGAATGACCTATTTTAAATCATATTCTCTTTCATGAGAATACACTGCATAGTAAAGTTCTTATTCAGTTCACTGAGTGTGACATTGTATATCCTATGGTGGTGGTTTATTTTTACTGAGCAGTAAATGTAAGTGTTCATAGAGGTCTCCAGAAATACATCTATAACTTTACAACCTTTTTTAAAAAAGATTTGTTGTTGCTGCTTATAATTCTTTTTTCATTCTCTCACATTGATCATTGTTACTTGTTATTTGAACAATCTTTGTACTCTTTTACACCTGCATTTCCTTAAATTTGATTATATCATATAGGAAAATACTGCTGCATGGCAAGATGTTTATGGAATGACTGACTGATGACCTTGGTGCTTTGTTTGCAGGAATTTTATGGTGATTATATTGCTGTGAATCCACATTTGTTTTCCCTCAATATTTTGGGTTGCTGCCAGGTATGGAAGAAAGGGGCTAAAAAATAAGTTCACTTATCTGGTGGGAGTGAATTCTGTAAGCCATTGAACATACAAGAAAAAAATGAAACTATTTTCTCTGAACATACATTTTTAACAAAAGGGTCGAAATTGGGATCCAGCCCAACTCTCCCGAACCACCCAAGGACTGACTGCTCTCCTTCTGTCTCTGAAGAAATGCCCCATGATTCGGTATCAGCTTTCATCAGAGGCAGCAAAGCGACTTGCAGAATGTGTGAAGGTATGGCATTCCTGACCCAAAGCTCCAAAGCCTCGAGACCATTCATTTCCTTACCGTGTTTTAGAAACTAAAGGAATATTTTGTCTTCAGCAATGGAGAGGATGTGTTAAGTGTACAGGCTGAAGGAGCTATTGTAATTTAAACCCAAAACAACAAAATAGAACTGAGACTCTTAGGTTTAACCCAAGAAACACTTGCAAGCAACCTAACTTCCTTTGATCCAGGTAAGCCACTTGTATAACAGGTTCAAATCCTAACCTTTTAAAAGGAAGGCTGTTAAACTTTGTAAAGCTTCTTAATCCTTTTATGGAAGGCCTGTGAAGGTGCAAAGAACTGTTACTGTTAAATGTGGTTTCCCTGTATTAATTTCCTATTTATATATTTCTGTCTGCAGCTAATTGGTTGACTAAACCACCTTTCTCTCTTGCTCACAGCAAGTGATAACTAAAGAATATGAACTGTTTGAATTCCGGCGCACTGAAGTTCCTCCACTGCTACTTATTTTAGATCGCTGCGATGATGCCATCACCCCATTGCTAAACCAGGTGCAGAACCCTTTGTTAGCATAATAGAAGGATGATTTCAAGCGGTGTTCATCTCAATGCAGATGTGGGGATGAATAAGATGGTCCATCTCTTTCCTTCCTTATTTTTAGCTATTCTTTTTGCCTGGAATTTCCTAGTGTTTTGGTATTATCTGTTCTTCTAGCCACAATCATCTTTGACTCTTTTCTGCCTCATTCTTCCTGTCCCTTCCTGCTACCACCCCCACCCCTAATCAAGGCAGCTTCTAGGTTCTGTGACTTCTACTTCTCCAGTGTCTTCCCTTTTCCAGTCTCGCTGCCATTACTTTGGTCTAGACCCTGATATCGTGTGGGAATCCTGAGGTGGTCATCTACTTGATTCCCCACTTTTATTTTCTTTTTACTCTAATATAGTTCACGGAAACAGTGTCATCAAATTACTTTTCCTAAAGCACAGTTCTGTTCCTATTACTCCTGGCTTAAAAAATTTTTAGTTATTTCCCCTTCTCACCCTAGGTTAACTACTAACTCCTAAACTTGGCATCCAGGAGCTTTCAGAGTATGGGCCCAGCCCCCTATAAAACCTGCAGCTCCCTGCTGTGCACACCCCTTCACCCGTGCTCTTACCTCTGTAAGTGCTGGGTGTTTTCCAACTTTAACCCATGAAAATTCTTCTCCTTAAAGCCACTCAAAATGTCTCCTTTTAGCCCATATTCTTTTCATCAAACATGGTTTTTCCCCTAAACTTACTATAAAATTTTGTGTCTGTCTTACATCTTCTGCAGCATTTGCCGTGTTTTACCTTTGGATGTTTTTACACTGGGTTACACATTCCTTCAAGGAAGACTGTCCTACCAGTGTTTGTTTTCCTGCAAGGGCACTGAACATACTAGTTGCTCTATTAACATGATTTTGAATTTATAGCGAAAGGCATAGTCTATATTTCAGTTTCTTCCCCCCTTATAAAAATGTTCATACTAAGGGAAATCTGTGGGTATAGAATGCAACTCTCTATTCTGTAAGACCGCCTTATATTCCTAAAATTCAAAGTAATATGATTACTAAGAAACTTTTGATAATGTAAAGAAATAGATAAACAAAGATAAGCAACGATTTATTCAACAGATTTTAGTGAGGAACTATTATTGTGTACCTAGAGTGCTGTACTAAGTATTTGAGATAAAAAGTTAACAGATACAATTTCTGCTTTCAGAGAGCTCCTGGTTCATTGGGGAGAAAAGTAAACAGATCGTTTTAGTTGTAGAGTAAGTGCTATGGCAGAGACACACACAGGGTGCTGTCTGTGAAAGCATAAAACATCTTGTCCTTACTTTAAATCCCGAATGAAGCTTGCTTTTCAAGGATTCATTTGGCAGTTATTTTAGGAAATAAAGCACCATCTTTTATCATCTCTTAGTTATAATCTCTAGTTTGCTTAAGATGGAGGATATGTAAATATTTTTAGCACTTGGATTCTAGATTTAGAAGGCAATGTGCTGGAAACTACTTAGTTTTGTCTGATAGACATAGGACTAAAAAGTCACCTATTCTCTGTAAGGATAAGAAGCCAAAACTTGAGGGTTTCTCCTTTCCAGTTTTGCTAAATAAGTTCATATTTTACAATACTGGAAATATTAAGTTAAAATACAGTGTATTTAGAGGAGAGCTTCTGAATATGTGTGTTTTGATCAACTCACAAGGTTTTTTTCTGATAATATTAGTGCTCCCAGGATATATATAGCACTACTCAGATCTGCAAGAACACACTTCTCATGCTGCAGAAAACCACAGCAGCATACAGGAAATGGTACAGCTTGTAACTGCAGTACCAATATAGCCCTATCTGTGAATCCAAAAATATACTTTTAATTCACAGGCAAAAATTGGAACTAATGATGGCTCTAATTTGCATTCTTTCTATTAGGAATATTAATCTTGCTGCCCTTCTTCCAAAGTGTGAAATCTAAAAGTGTTTTGACTTTTGGATGTTTAACCAATTAACTGACAACCATAATGCTTAATATAGCACAAAGTATTAATAAAATTTGAGCTAGAGACCCTCCATTTAAAGAATACTAGTTACTAAGGACATAGTCAGTTCTTATTTGTTTTCCTGAACATTTACTATTTTATGTGTTGCCAGTTACTAGTTGGATTTTTTTTTGTTTTTGTCACGTATTCTTTATTCAGTGGACGTATCAAGCCATGGTCCATGAACTACTGGGAATAAACAACAATCGGATTGATCTTTCCAGAGTGCCAGGCATCAGCAAAGACTTAAGAGAGGTGGTCCTATCTGCTGAAAATGATGAATTCTATGCTAATGTACGTAGTTTAAAATTGCCTGTGTTTTCATTTGTTTCATGTAAGAAGTTCAACGCTGACTCGTTGAATGAAAGCAGGAGGGGTTTCAGGTGGAGGATGACAGAGGCCTCTCTAGACAGACTGCATGTCTAGATATGCTGACCCAAAGTGTGAAATCTAAAAGTATTTTGACTTTTGGATGTTTAACCAATTAACTGACAACCTTAATGCTTAATATAGCACGAAGTATTAATAAAATTTGAGCTAGAGACCCTCCATGTAAAGAAGACTAGTTACTAAGGATGTACTATTTTGCTAAGGACATAATATTAATATTTTCTTCTTAGAAATCACATACTTTAGGGCCTTTCTGGTGGCACAAGGAGTTAAGTCTCAGCACTATGAAGCTATCAGCAGCCACTGCAGTACGAGTTCAATCCCCAGCCAGGGAGCTGACCCACATGGCGCAGCAGACCTCTCCTGTCTCCCCAGTACTCCCCTCAGCAGTGTATTTTAGTAGATCTGCCTGTTCTGCTCCCCACTCTGTCTCTGGTGAATCCTCTCACCCCCTGCACCTCTGCCCTATACCCCAGTTCTTGTATGCATAAATAAATAAATCTTTTAGAAAAAAAGAAGAAATCACATACTTTATTTAGATTTAGACTTAAAAATTTGAACCAAATTTATTTACTTCCCCTTCTTTGGTAGCCAGTGAGAATAGTAATAATATTCTTCCCCAGTGTGCTGGCCAATGAAAGTGTCATTAGTTGATAGGACTGTGTTTCTGACTTCCTTTTTCACAGAATATGTATCTGAACTTTGCTGAGATTGGTAGCAATATAAAGAATCTCATGGAAGACTTTCAGAAGAAGAAACCAAAAGAACAACAAAAACTAGAATCAATAGCAGACATGAAGGTAAATTGAACATGTACATGGATGACTAACATGCAAGACTTTGGAACTATTCATGTAAGCAACATTTCTGGAATATTCTGGGTCTGATTTCTATCTTGATTCATTTTGTTTGGTTTGAGATTATTTTCTGTGATCCTCGCCTTTAGTGAAGAGTATAAGGAGAACTTCATAATAAGCCATGTGCTTCTTTTCAGTCTTCAGTCATATTTGGACTATTTAAAGACTCTGCCTACTGACCTATACCAGTTCTCTCTTCTTAAGCCAAGTGATTAAAGGATGTAGATGCCTTAGTCTGGGCAGAACAATCCCTGCTTTTCTCCCCCTGAATTCATTTATGCCTATCCTTGGTCACGAAATGACAGACCCTTCTATTGATGTTTTCCATGGCAGGCCTTTGTTGAGAATTACCCCCAGTTCAAGAAGATGTCTGGGACTGTGTCAAAGCACGTGACAGTCGTTGGAGAGCTGTCGCGGTTGGTCAGTGAACGGAATCTACTGGAGGTGTCGGAGGTTGAACAAGAGCTGGCCTGTCAAAATGATCATTCTAGTGCTCTCCAGGTATCTATTCAGTCCAATTTGATGAGCACCTACTATGTGTAAGGTACTGTGCCAGGCAGAGCAAGAAATGCAAAGGCAAGTAATCCTTCTTCACCAACATGGAATTTACAGTCTCACCAGGAGTTGAGATGGGAGCACAAATTAATACTGTTGAAGAGAGATACATAAGAGCCTTAGAGAATGATGTGCAGCCCCAGAGGGCTTAGGCAGTTAACTGAGTATTGAGGAAGGCAGCCTAATTTCCTCAGAAGAATATTAGACTAAAACCAAAAGATCTGGATGTTAGTGTTTCGTTTTCTCCTTACTGGCTTTTGTGACCTGGAAGCTGTTGGCTTAATCTCTGAGCCAGTTTCTTGTTTATAAAATAGGCGTGATACTTATCTCAGAGCGCTGTTGGAAAGATTTTAAAAGATCAGTATATTCAAATACATTAAGTTTTTTTAATTACTCAGCATCTGCTTTCCATTCCACAAACTTGAATGCATGTACATACTGCTTTTTTTTTTTTTTTTTTTGGTACATACTGCTTTGAGGATCTAGAGGGACAAAGAATAATAAGATGCCATCCTTTTCCTCAAAGAGCTCACACTCTAATAGAGGGGGAGGAAACTTAATCCGGGATTTAGAATATCTTGCAGTGAGTGCTGTGCTGGAGATATTTATAGAGGAAGGACAACTCTTTTCCCTGTGGGTGGGGCGTCTTAGCACTTCCTACAGAAGGTGACATTAGATTTGGGTCTGGGCAAGCAAGTCAGAGTGCACCAGCCAGAGAAAAGGGGAAGACTCTAAATCAGAGAGACTGGGAAGGTGGGGGGCAGGGGGGTATTACAGGAACAGAGAATAACTCATGTAGCTAGTGCAAGACAAGGCATGCTCCCAAACAAACCAGAAAGACAGAATGGGGCCAGGCATGGCCATGGAAAAGAGGTTGGGCTTTAATCTTACAATGATGGAAGCTACCAGAGGATCTTAAAAGAAAAATGACATACTCAGACCCTGGCCTCAGGAAAGGTATTGTTTAGTGAGAGAGACAAAACTAAAGCGCACAAAACAATTATCACTTAAACGATTAGTATTTCAATATAATATTTAAGTCAGAATTATGACACTGTCATAGAATTTGAGGTTATCAGCAACAGCTTCTTAGAGAAGCTGATACTAAGATGGACTATAAAGAATGAACAGAATCTGGAGGAGCATTTCAGTCAGGGATAACAGCAAAAGCAAAGATGCACAAGTATGCAAGAAATAACAAACAGTTTGACCTGCTGAGAGTGGGTGTGGAAGAGAAATAGGAGATAAAATGAATTGGTAAACAGGAACCAGTTTATGAAGCATGTAAGAGGAATTTGTGCTGCTGAGCTAGACAAAGAGAGCCAGTGTAGGTTCCTATGTAGAAAGCTGATAGGATGAAAGTGATGTTTTGGAAAATTTAATCTAGTAAGATTGATTTAGAGGCAAAAAACAGAAAGGCTGGTAGACTCATAGTGACAGTAGTAAAAATGTACATTAAGGACAAATCTGATAGACTTGTCAAATGGAGGAGACAACACTTTAGTGACAGATGGGACATAAGAACAGGACAAAACAAGTCAGATAATTCCAAGGTTCCTGAGACATGACAAAATGTGGTTTCACTAACAAGTAACTTAGGAACAAGGGTCCTTTGGGAGATAGCAATTTCCAAGCCACTTATTATAAGAAACACATTTCCTTATTAATAGGACCCTACATTCTAAAACTTAGTTTCTTTCCCTGCTGCAATTCTGCTTTACTTTATAAAATAAAACCAACATGGTATAAAGTATAAAGGAAAAACACAGACTTTGGAGGGGGACTGACTTTTTAATCTAGGTCTGCAAACTAGAATACATGCATCCTGCAGTTTCATGTACATTAAAGCTTCAGTGCTTGCCTGTATCTTTGTAATTCAGTTGCCACCACAATGTACACATAGTTCTGCATTCTCTTTTTCATTCAGCCACATATCTTGAAATATCTGTTCCAGATCAAAACCTAAAAACTCATTCTTTTTAATCACTCAATAGTATACCTTTGTAAAGGTATACAACCTGTTTAACTTGGCCAACTCACTTTCAACAATACTATCAATAATAGTTTTTTGTTGTCTTGTGGACCTAATTGAAATATTCCTATGAAAAATATTTTTCTCACTAAAATGAGTTTTCTGCCGCTTATTAAATAAACACAAAATATTGTCCTATAGCTAAATTTAAATTGCCTTATGTTTATTTACCATTTTATTTTCCCCTTCAAAACAATACAACTAAACTTAACCACCAACCAATTTTAGTATCTTTATCTCTCTACCATATGGAAAGCAGTTAGAAAAATGTACTGTAATTCCTTGCTTGAAATCTTATTGGTTGTTTACTTTAAAAGAAAAGTAAATACTTTAAACACTGAATTCCATTTGTGATCCGCTTTATATTTTGTAAAGGTAGCTTTTGGAGATTTTCTTGCCCTGCTGTTAGGGTTTTACAGTGAGCACTTGGTTTGGGCTCCCCCAGAGGGTTTCTTTGGTAACTTCATTTAAATAGTCTATAAAGAGACTTTTGTTTGATAATGAGTCCATGCCGGGGGCTGACCCCTAGATGGGTTATAGCATTCCTTGGCTTGACCTTGGATGATAATTCGTCATGAAGCAATGAATTGAGGTTTTGAGTAGAGATGAGATTTGCTTTAGTGAATAGTCAATGCATCAGGGGAGGGGAAGGAGGCTCATATAGTGCTAAAAATTAACCTACAACTCACTGTCACTTCTAACCAGCTATTCTAGAGGCTAACAAAAACTTGATTTAGAAAGGATTTCACCAGAACCCAGCTACAGTATGCTACCATTGAGGCTTATCCCTAGCCTTAGAAATGACTCATTTAATGAATAAGAAAGATTTTTTTTCATACCATAAAGAGAAACATCTTCAGGAAATAAGCAGTTTTCCCTTTCTGTGTTGTCTTAGACAGAGGAACTAGTCTGTTTTCCATCTTTCTTCCCTGGTCTTGGGTAAAAGAGTTCAGATCATCTTATTAATGATACATGGTATAGAGTCGTCAAATACTTGTTAGAAAAATGAAGAGAAAGAGTTCTACTGGAAGCAATATAGAATAGTGGCTAAGAGTTTGGGCCTTTGATGGCTTGAATTTGAAAATGATTTTTAACACCATTCTAAGTCTTTTTGGGGGTCCATAAACTGGGGGGAGGGAAATAACAGTACTTGCCTCAAAGATTTTGGGGGACTATGCTTGTGGTACCTGGTACTTACAACTCTCGCACAAATCGACCCTTACCATTGTCCATTGTCAGTATCACCATCCGATGGTGTGTTCTGTTTTCTTTATGATATCCAGGACATGTTTTTTAGTCCACTGATGACCTTGGATCTCTCCCTGATCTCAGAAGGGTTTGTTTTTCCTTCTCATTAAAATCTTGAGAAAATTATTTAGGACCCATCGAACCAACAACTATACTGTGACCAGTTAAGAGTGAGTGATCCTTTTCTCTTAAGCTATTGCTTAACCAGGGTTTCAGAAACAGTGTTGACCAGCCAAAGACCTACAGCAAAGCTAAATTTTATGTCAGCTAGCCATTTAGAACAAGAATGCTGACTCCGATGCATTTACCATTCAGTAGAATTGGGTCCTGTCTTCTTTCTATCATTTTTCCCTAGAGAAGCTCTTTATAGTTCCACCCTATTCTCTCAAACTGTTAGATTTGACTTATTTTTATAATATCAGCATATTGAAGGCTTCTGCCTATTCCATCCTGCTGTTCTAATCTGTTAGCTTATAATGCTGTTCATTGACTGTTTCACTACATTAATGTGCTAGTAGATAGCAAGGCAAGGATCCTGTTCTTTAGGTTAGATTAAAACCCAAAAAATGGAGACTAGTTGCTGACTTTACATGTAATGGTTTTTTACATGTACAATGGTTAAAATGTATATCATTATAAATTTTTTTCTTATTATGCCCCTTCATCATAGTTTTGGTGGAAGAAAATAAAAAGTAGAAAAGTAGCCCAAAACAATGGAAGGATCTCTAAATATCAGAAAGGAAGAATTGTTTTTCATTGATGTCCTTTGAGTGAACTGTAGCTCCTTTTTAAAACTCGACTTCCAAAAACTGTGTTTTTGCCTTTCTTTTCCTATTCCTTAATTAAGCCTACCAGAATGTTCGTATTTGGTAGAAAATGTTTGAATCCTTCTTAAGTAGACAGTAGTTTTCTGTTTTGCTCAGTCATTACCTATTGTTACTATGGGACAGTATACTTTTGTCTCTTGCTAGTCTCCAGGAAAATTTAATAAGGAAAAAGAAACCCAAAAGTACGTTATGTAACTTAGTCATTTTTCCAACATATAAATACTACCATGTAGCATAAACCAGTTATGCAATTAGAAGTCTCTCAGATTCTTTTTTTCCCCTGCTCTGGTTACTACCCTGAAATCTCAACATAATGTATATATATAGTGTAGGCTACTGTCAGCCAAGCGAAGAACTGTGAGGGAAATAGTTCAGAATTAAGGACAACATGAAATCCAGGAAGACCGAGAGACCCTGCTTCTTCAAGGAGAACGATCTCAGCTGATGCCTACAGATTTCTTTTTATGAGGAAATAGATAAATCTATCAGAACACTGACCTGAACCAGTGTTGGGTCCGAAGGGCTCAAAAGCAAGCAGAGTAGTCTACTACAGTACTCTTGGTTCAGGTCTTGACCACATCCAGAGATAGCTCAGAGTGACGCCAGGAACTTTAAATACCAGTACCTGGTCTCGAGGAACAAAGTGGATTTTTTAATGGGAAACTGAGTCAAGAGTCAAGATCCAGATGAAGAGACTCAGGAAAGGAGCACATGAGAAGGGCCCAAGCTGAATGCAGCAAATCGTCTGGGATCGTCCCTATATCAGTTTCGTGTGTATATGGTTACTTGAGTATCTCAGATTTGCTTAAAAGTACCCAGATAACTAAACCAGAAACTGAGTAGTTTTAGGATAAAAAGAGAATGACTGCAAGGGCAGGATATGAAACATTGTGCTTCTAAGAAAAGTGACAGAGATCCCGGAGGAATGCCAGGCCGATTGAGATACATAGGAAGTTGTATGTATTTACTTGGTAATCACTTGTACCCTGACATTTCTTCATATTATAGTAGAAACTAGAGGAACATTTGAACAGAATTCTAAATAGGCTCTATTCACTGACTGCTCCACGGAAAAGCACAACAGTGACTGCACAGTGTAAATCTATAGAAGAGACGTTTCTTCCTATTTCGCCTTAAGGATGATAGTGGTGAAATGTTAACCCAGAAAAGTAGCAGTAGGAATCCTGCTCAGGCTTTCTTCTGAGGCTCCCTGTTGTATCGCAGCCCCTCTGCAGTGTGAAGAGAAGAGTTTTCAGGGCCTCCCTGGTGGCGCAAGGGGTTAAGTCTCTTCACTATGAAGCTGTCAGCAGTCACTGCAGCACGAGTTCGATCCCTGGCCAGGGAGCTCCCCACATGGCACAGCAGACCTCTCCTGTCTCCCCGCTGCTCCCCTCAGCAGTGTGTTTCAGTGGATCCACCTGTTCTGTTCCCCACTCTGTCTCTAGTGAATCCTCTCACCCCCTGCACCTCTGGCCTGCACCCCAGTTCTTGTATGCATAAATCTTTAAAAAAAAAAAAGAGCTTTTAGACATTTGACCTGTTTATTTTGAAGTACTGAAATGAGAACATGTGTGAAACCACCTTGTAATTTGTGAAGGACCACATAGATGTTAGTTCCTTCAGAGCCCACTGCCCTCTGAGGTTCTTGCCAGTCTCTCTCTAATTTCCAACCTCTGTCAGTCTCTCCAACAAAACCCAGCACGAGCTGATTCTTCAGGGCCTTTTGCATATGCCCCTCCTTTATGGTGTCTTCTTGATTCCTCAGCAACCAGATGTGCTTTTCTTCACCATGTGTCCCCTGCCCCTCTTTGCCCTGATTTCCAGTTTTGTTTTTTGTATGCATGTGTGCATATATGTTTCAGGAACACACATGTGCTCATATATGTTTCAGGAACACACGTGCCAAATGATGCAATAAATAAACAAGGGTTATTGGAAAATAGGGTTAAAAACAATCACTTAAAATGTATAGAGCAAAAAAAAAAGAAGAAAAGACTCTATATAACTTGGTAGTCAGTGCCCTAATGAAAATAACAATTCTAACAAAAATACTAGCACAGTTAAGTCTTACCTTGCATCTGCACCTAGAAATATACTCAGTCTTTGGGGCTCATGTTTTCCTTTTCTAGATTGAAGGTCTTGCAAACATTTGCTTCTCCTGGAGACTAGTTTTGTCAAAATTTTAAAATATGATATGGGACTGTCATATTGGTGGTTATTTTCTTTTGTTTTTCCACGCAGAGAAATATCTTTGCATACTTGTCATCTGCACATGCCTTTCCCCATGTAGCTTAGCATTTGTGAAAAGTACAGCAGTTCGTAAGCTAAAGAAAAACAGCTACTCCCTACAGGAAACACTTCTGTAGGATTTTCATTCCTTCTTTCTCTCTTCCTCTTTAAAGAAGAGACTTGTCCCTGGTCACTTCTAAACAGTACCATGCTAGGAAAAGTATATATTAACCAACATGCCTCTGTGCTAAATTGATACCAATCCAATTATTATAGTTGCCGATCGCAGAGAGCTGAGGTACATTAAGGAAACCCATTGGCAATACAACAGGCAATAGAATAGGTAGAATAGGCAGTAGAATAGGCAGCAGAATAGGTTTCAGCCCCTCACCCCATCATCCAAGACCTCAATGAGGACAGAAATTTCTCCACCTCATCTCTGCATCCCGCCAGTGCCGGTGTAGCACCTTATGCTTAAAGGGGACTCAGAAAGTGTTTGTTGACTTGAATTAAGTTGTCCTGCTGCATGATAAACACACATCACATCTATACTCTATGGAAGTGAGGGTTGGCAAAACGTAAAATAGGATTTCTTCAAGCTTCTTTTGCTGTAAGTTCCTGCCCTCTTCAATCTAAGTTTACAACTGTTCTGTGCTCTTATCTCTATGCCATGTTGAGACACTGTTACAGCTGACGATTCCTGGAGATTGCATCACCCCCTCCTCCTATGTAACTCTCCACCAACCTCTCCCCCTCTCACTGGTCAGTCACTAGCGCTGGTAGATTTGCAGTCAGCTGGTCGTTCCTGTTCAGTGTTACAGCGACTGAAGTGGTAGAAATAGTACGTGTTTCTGGTTTCAGCGAGGAAATTGTAGCCTTTCCTATGAGACCCTGGGCCATCTCATCAGTGGGAATTTATTTCCCTACTTAAATCTTACCTTGGGCGAAAGGCATTTCATTTTCTATAGTTGAACTAGTTGCCAAGCCCACGGCCTGACCCTTTGCACACTGCCCTAGTAGTAATCTGAGTTGTGAACCAGATGTGTCACTGCCAGTCAGTAATTATTAGATCTGAGATATCATGCGACGTCACCCAAGTGAAGGGGGTAAATACAGCTCCCTCTCTCCCCAGAATGTCAAGAGGCTGCTGCAGAACCCCAAAGTGACGGAGCTGGATGCCGCCCGGCTGGTGCTGCTTTATGCTCTGCACTACGAGCGGCACAGCAGCAACAGCCTGTCAGGACTGATGATGGAACTCAGGAATAAAGGGGTTTCCGAGAAGTACCGGAAGGTAATGATTTCATATATTCCACCGAACAGGAACCAGCTCCGTTACTACATTCTCTGCTCAGATGCATGATGTCACACTCTCTTGTGTCACAGAAATCTATAATACTGCCCCCTCATGTCTTCGTTTCCTTAACAAAGTTATTTTCTAATGAAATGAGCTTCCTGATCCCCAAGCAGTAAGAGGTTCTTATTCCTTTCTTCAAAGCTCGTGTCTGCAGTTGTTGAATATGGTGGCAAACGGGTCAGAGGAAGCGACCTCTTCAGCCCCAAAGACGCCGTGTCTATTACCAAGCAGTTCCTCAAAGGACTCAAGGTAGGTCAGCTCCCTGCTGCCCTCGGTGAGAAGCCGCTGAGCTGAGTGGAAAGGACACTCCCCAGGCCCGCGCCACCGCAGGCCTCTCCCCTAGACAGTCAGTGGGAGCCCTCAGGAAGCTCCGCCAGATCCGACCCATCCCTCTCAGGGAATACCTGGAGATATTTCTAGGACATACCCAGGAGTAAAGAGACAGTTCTGTTCGTCGTAGCTATTTTGCTCCATTTGTTTGTAATTTAAGATTTCTTAGGTAGTTTTTCTTTGAGAGAAATAACAGTAAAGCAGAAAATTGTAGAACTTTAAAAAGTACTAATCTATTCTCTTAAATAGTCAAAAATTAGTTTTAATTTTTAATTTAGATCTTTTTAGTTTCCTGAAAAATGTTCCATTTTCTTGAGTGTTTCCAGCCTCCTCTTCTGTGAGGTCCTTCCTTTTATTTGCGCCATCTACCCTGCATCATTCTCACAAAACGATGAGAATCAGCAAAGAAACGTAAAGGATTTAAGCAATTCCATTTTTGAAATTCTTTCATAATACCTAGCTTTAAATTACAGTGTTTTTTATGAGATTGGAACATTTCTAGTGGGCGAAAACAATTTTTTAATTACTTAATTAAAATTCTCCTAAAATTTTATCTAATTTCATGAAATCTCTACTTAATGTTTTTTTCTGATAAGACTATCATTAACTGTTATGTTGCAAGTTTCCCCAAAATGATATAAGACCATTTTCTCCTGTCTTAGGGAGTAGAAAATGTGTATACACAGCATCAGCCTTTCCTGCATGAGACCCTGGACCATCTCATCAAAGGAAAGCTTAGGGAAAACCTGTACCCGTATCTAGGCCCCAGCACACTCAGAGACAGGTAAGATAACAAAGATATTAATAATAAAACCCAGAAACAGTGAAAAATTGGAAATTGACAGTAATGAAAGGGCCTGCAACTAAGATTCTATCCTACTTCTTCCCCTGTTGTTTCAGTTACAAGATTCTTTTGGTTTTATGTGTATTGAAATTAGATGAAAATTCACCTGTAATCCTGAAGCATTATTTCTTTTGGAATAAAGAAACATGTATTTTGGAGCACCCCAGATTCTTAGATTTTTCTCCTTTTTTTCTCAGATCAGTTTATGCCATTTAGGGTTCAGTTCCATGGCATCTGCATTTGGAGTTTCAAATATTGAAGCCAAAAATAGATCTGCTTGACTGCCATCCAGAGCAGGTTGTTACTATTTTGGGGAAAGGCTGGACTTTGCCAAATGTGGCCAGCATACAAACTGAGACCTAATTAACAAAGGCCATTTGTTACACAGGAGAAAAGATAGTTTTCTTTTCGGGTATTAATTGGAAGAAGCAATTAGTTGTCATTTTAATACAGTGGTTTGTTAGTTTTAATAAAATCAAAAAATTATCCAAAACAACTTACTTTGGCCCAATCTGAAATTTTTACTATACTCAAATTCTACCTAGTTATAAATGATATTCTTATATTTTTTATGGGTACTGCTTGTTATAAAGAGTCTAGTATGTGTAACTGAAGTCTATTGTTAGGTTTATATAAGAATTGTTTCTGTTGGTATAACTTCTATCATTCCAGCTAATCATAATCTAAGAGCCCTAGAAGAATAATGTTTCATAAATATAATGAAATTATATTTCTGAAAAGAGAATTAAATTTCTGAAAAGAGAAAAATATTTTCAGACACATAGATGATTCTTTTATATGATAAAAGTACATTTTTCACTTTGTTCCTTTAAAAAGGACTCAATAATTTTGTAACAGAACAAAAATATCTTTTTAAAAAATCCATTAACAGAACATCTAGGGTTAAATTCAGAGAGTATACTTATTCAGATAAAATGTTTAAGGACTTTGACATCAGAAGTATAAGGTAAGTAGGAAGAATGAAAACCAACCCAATCCTGAGACACTTTTTGAAAAATAGTGTAACTATTAATAGCCTTGTAATTAATATGAAAACGTGGGAAAATGAAATTTCTTGTGAATTTCATATAAAAGTTACTGAACAAGAAGTTAGCTACTTACTGCTATAGAAAAAAACAGAGACTACTAGAAAAGTATGTTGTGTATGATTAGTTCATGACAGCAAACCTTTCTAATTGGGTGATTCATTTCCAAACAAATCTCAAAATGATTCTATTCCAACAAAGTGGACGTTCATTTGCTATCAGGTTCTGTTAGCATTCATCACTAGCACCCAAATACATACATAGTTAATAAATGAATTGCTCCATCCTTCCATAACAAATATTTATTGAGTACCTTAAATATGTTAATATCTGGTAAAGATGCTGGGAACATAGAAGTGACAGGAAAGACAAGGTCCCTGCCCTCAAGGAACTACCATGGAGACAGACAGTAAATTAATAAACAAAGAATATAATCTGATGAGATAAGTGCTATTCAGGAAGCAAGCAGGAATATAAGCTACAAAGTAACTTTGTAGGGGTGGGGAGGTCTACTTTAGATGGACAGAAACTGAGGGGTTATACTTAAGATTTTTTTAAAGATTTATTTTATTTATTTATGCATACAAAAACTGGGGTATAGGCCAGAGCTGTGGGAGAGGGGAACGGGGGAGAGGATTTACCAGAGACAGAGTGGGGAGACAGGCAGATGTACTGAAATACACTGCTGAGGGGGGCAGTGGGTGAGACAGGAGAGGTCTGCTGTACCATGTGGGTCAGCTCCCTGACCAGGGATGGAACTCAGGCCATAGTGGCTGGCGATAGCTTGATGGCAGTAAGACTTAACCTCTGAGCCACCAGGGAGGTCCCCAGTACTTTAGATTTTGAACTACATGAAAGAGTCCAGGGCTTCCCTGGTGGCACAGCGGTTGAGCGCTGGGTTGCGAAGCTACCCACGGCCTCTGCGGCGCCAGTTCGATCCCCAGCTGCTCCCCGGCCACCAGAGGAGGGTCCCACATGGCGCGCAGACCTCTCCTGCCGCCCGCTGCTCCCCTCAGCAGTGTACTTCGGTCCTTCTGCCTGCTCTGCTCCCCGCTCTGGCTCTGGTGAATTTTCTCACCCTCCCGCGCTTCTGACTGTACCCAGTGCATGTATAAACAAACAAACAAACAAACGAATAAATAAATAAATAAATAAAACATGCCTCTATAAAAAAAAAAAAAGAAAGAGTCCATCAGACAATGATTAGGAGGAAAAGTATCACAAGCAGATGGAAGCAGAGCAAAGACCTTAAAGAAAGACAGAAAATGACAATATCAGGGAATAGAAAGAAGTCGCAGGCATTTGATTCTTAGGGAGAAAAGAAGATCTAAGAAGTTGAAAAGATAAGCAGGGGCTGGACCGCATAGTATCATAGGCCCTGGTGAAGATGTTATTTAAATGCCAGAGGAAGCCATTGGAGAACTTTCAGCATGTAAGTGACATGAACTGAATTACACATTAAAAGATCACCTTGTGAGGAGAATGATTATTGAGACTTAGAAGGCAGCTACAGTAGTCTAGGTGACAAGAAATGAAAGTGTTTTGGATCAGGAAGATGGATGAGAAGGTAGAATCAGTGCCCTGTGCAGGGAAGCAGATTGATGGGATACAGCATGGAGAGAAATGAAGAATAACTCAGGTTTGGGGGGAAATCAACAGCTCTGTTGTTAAGTTGGAGCTGCCCATTAGATAACCAAGTGGAAATGTCAGACAGTAAATTGAAAGTCAGGATTTTGATGATATTTCCATGTGATTTCGTTCATGTGAAAGGTAAAGAAACAAAAACAAGTTCTTGGACTATAAGAACAAAACAGTAGTTACCAGAAGGGAAAAAGGATTTGGGTAAATTGGTAAAAGGAGCTAATTGTGTGGTGAATTATGAAAAACAGACTTTTGGTAGCAATCATAATATAGTATTTACAAATACTGATCAGTAAATATTGAAGTATTATAATTTTATAAGTCATTATTACTTCAATAAAACTTAAAAAGATTTTGGTAATATTTATTCTTTAAAGATTTATTTATTTATGCATACAAGAACTGGGGTGTATGCCAGAGGTGCAGGGGTGGGAGAGAACTCACCAGAGATGGAGTGGGGAGCAGAACAGGTGGATCTACTGAAATACACTGCTGAGGGGAGCAGCAGGGAGACAGGAGAGATCTGCTGCATCGTGTGGGTGAGCTCCCTGGTCGGGGATGGAACTCAGGCTCTAGTGGCAGGCGCTAGTTTGTTAGCTCTGACACTTAACCCCTGCACCTCCAGGGAGGCCCCTTTGGCAATATTTAAAACCATGGAACTAGAAAAGATCACTTAAGTTGAAAGTATAGAAAGAGAAAAGGAAAACCCGGGAGACAGGATGAGAAGCCAACAGTGGAAGCTGAGGAAGAAATGGAAAGGTAGGAGTAGATATCATGCATTGTAATGAAAAAGTTATCGTGATGGATGTTGGTGGTTGTAGAAGAGAGAACGGATCTGTGTGGGTGAGGAGGCCAGGATGTTGGATGAGTCATCCACATTAATGTTGAAGTCACTAAAAATCTTGGAAGAAGCTGGAATGAAAAGGAGGACAATAAACCAGAGCTCAAGTCTTCAGGGAATAAGAGAGTGACCAGGAAAGGAGGTCAGGAGAAAACAGTGCGACTGTATGGCAAGCTTCTAAAATAGCACAAACTTTGAAGGAAGAAGGCAGAGAACAGGTGATAAGACTACAGTGTAGGGCCCAGAAGACGCCTGACTCAAACCACCACTGGCCCTGCTCACCAGAAGGAAGTCTGCACAGCCTGAGTTCCCAGTGCGGGAATGGGTTACAAAGATCTGGTATGTGCGCGATGGAATACTACTCGGTGATAAAAAAGCTGAAGCCTTGCTGTTTGCAACAGCGTGGATGAAACTAGAGGGGATTATGCTGAACAAAACAAGTAGGAGGAGAAAGACAAATACCTGATGGTTTCACTCATGTGGAATATAAAGCAAAATGTGGAATAGACAGAAAACTAAACCAAAACAAACCCTAGAAATCCAGGGCAGAATTGACACTACCAGAGGGGGAGGGGGAGAAAATGGAACTATCTGGTTGTACATTTCAGAATTAGTCAATTTTCAAAAAGGAACTACTTTTTCTCATCCTCATGAATTTAGTAGAATCCTGCTGCTGCAGCTTAGGTCTATTTCTATGAAAGCAGCAGTCCTTTTCCATTGGCCTTTTATCCTACAATAAATGCTCATAGGATTTTAACCATCTGGAAATATGTTCAGAAATTTGAATTTTAGCCCTAAGTATAATGGTCCACAAAATAGATAAAATGTTATCTTATATAAGTTTATGTTTTTCCACTTAACTTTTCCCTATGTAGAAGTAGTAATTTCCAGAAATACTATCCGAGAAATTTTTTGGTCTTTTTTCCTAATAAAATAAGATGTAAATTGGTTGGGTTCTCACGGTATCCTTGTATCTCTATACAGCATGAATTGGCTGCTGTTTCTAATGTTTGCTGTCTGCATTAATTAATGCTTTGGTTGCTATGGTGAATTACAGAGCATACAGAGGAAATGTGCACAAAGAATTGAACTTGTGTATTCCACTTGACTTCAACCAACCATGAAAAAGACTTGCTATGTATTTTACTGTTTTCCTCTTCAGAACATCTACTTTTTTAAAAAAATTTATTTTTTTTGCATAGAAGAACTGGGGTGTAGGCCAGAGGTGCGGGGAGTAAGAGGATTCACCATACACAGAGTGGGGAACAAAACAGGCAGGTCTACTGAAGTCCACTGCTGAGGGGAGCAGCAGGGAGACAGGAGAGGTCTGCTGCGCCACGTGGGTCAGCTTCTTGGCCAGGGATCAAACTGAGGCCTTGGCGGTGATAGCGCTGAGATTTAACCCCTAGGCCACCAGGGAGGCCCCCAGCACATCTACTTTAATATTTGACTGTGGAAAAGCATAAAAAGGGAAAATGTCAGGGACGTTCTTTTAAATTTTTTTCCCCATCACTGTTTCTCCTAAGTCAGCCTGAGTGAGTGGGAGGCGCAGGACGACGTTTATCAGTGTTTTCATAACCAGCGTGACACAGTCAGCTTTGCGAGGCACACAGTTGAATCAGGCTCTTCGAGCCGACCCAGCCTTGTGTCTGGGTTTCATCCTGACATTAATGTAACCTACACCCACAGTTTACCATCTGTGACATTTTCTTCCCTCTCCATAAGACAAAAATACTCTGGCACCCTGAAATTACCAGACTCGAGGGTAGCATTCCGTGGCAATGACAGAAACCTGCTGGAGTTTATTCCTTCCCAGACCTGGCCGTTCTTTTCCTTAGGAGACAGTCTCTTGAGAAAGATGCTATCAGAGGGCGGCTGTGGAGAAACAGCATTATTTTCCTCATTAGTCTGCTCAGCTGCTTTTAAAATTGATTTATCACGTCAGGAACGCAAAACAAAAGTGTGTCTCTCTGGTTCTGGGCCCGTCACTGTCTACCCCTGCAAGGGAGAAACTTCCCTTTCTTCTTCTTAGTGACGTAATTTGTGCAGTTCGTGAGTATTTACTCAAGATAAACAGTGTGATACGTCTCAGGCTGGAGTTGCTGGTCACCACAGCATATTGCATATGGTTCCTACTGTAACAAAAATGCTTGATTCCCAAGAATGTAAGTTCATGTTGGTTTTGACTTTACTATTTCTGAACACTGTGAGTTGTTTTTTTTTTTTTTTTTTTCTGTTTACCACTTACACTGACCCTAGATAGTTAAAAAAATGGGCCAAACTATTGGTGGAGTATTGTCTCCTTGATGACACATTCTTAAAACGTTGGATTTTCTTCCCCATAAAACTCATCCTTTGCATCCCTTAGTAATATTAAACCAGTTGTGACTGCACTTGAGAAGCCATTTTTATTTGAGATCGTTGGTGCTTCTAGAACCAATGTATTAGAAAGAATTGAAAATTTATATCCTTAGACATTTACTGCTAAAAAGAGATTTATTGTAGATCCATGTGGGTAATATTGTGATAATAGTTACAGGGATGCCTGTCAGTTTTTTAAATTGCAGCCAACTGTGGCTTATTTGATCTTTTCTCATGAATTATATTCCTAAAGAAACTAACAAGAAATGAACTTGGGTTTTAGCTGCTCCTATTCCCCTTCCTGCTCTGTAGAAATATTAGGAGAATGTAAGAGTAGAAATGTTATACAACATGTCAGTTCGGAAAAAAGAAGAGAACCACTATTTTACCTGAATAGTCAGACCCCGAATAATCAAATGTTCATCATACTTAATAGAAAAATACTACTCTCATAATCATGCAGCTCTTCCTAAGCAAATGGCTTAGCAAGAAACTTGATGTGTAGAAAAGTTCAGTGATTCATGGACAGCGTTGTTGCTTTCTTACGACTATATAAGGAGCCTCCTTCCCTGGAGTCTAAAGCCAGGTTAATGTCAGATAAATCATTTAGCCTTAAGGCTCAGCTCTCCTTCTCCATGTTAGAGAGCAAATCACACCAGTCACAGATAAGTGTCAGTACAGAGTCATCGCTTGTGCCCTGCCCTAGGTCTTCGGGGATACTCAGCCCATCTTTTATGTGCCCCTAATCATCTCCCCTTGTGTAGTTCTCCATAACAGTTTTGAATATTTTCCATTCTCTTCAAGTCACCAAGCTCACTCCAGCCCACACCAGTGTCTCCCACTTCACAGAGAAAAAGAACTGAGTCTGCCAGACTTGAAATCCTTTAATGTCTATCCCTGCTACATATAGACTTATGTGCATACACCTACCTTTATATTCCTCCATTCTAAAAGAAATACACCCTTTTTTCCTATTTAGGACTAATATCTCTGCAGTACTGTTGTTTTAGATTCCTACCATCTCTTCAATAGTTAGTCACTGATAAAAGGTGGAGGCTAAGGATAAAGGAAGAGTTCACGATAACATGAGTCTTCTAGTTTTGGTGACTGGGTATAGTGGTTTGAGAAAAAAGAAGGCAAGATTGACTTATTGAAAATAAGATGAAAATTGGGCCTCCCTGGTGGCGCAGCGGTTGAGCGTTGGGTTGCGAAGCTGCCCGCGGCCTCTGCGGCGCCGGTTCGATCCCCGGCTGCTCCCCGGCCACCCGAGGAGGGTCCCACATGGCGCGCAGACCTCTCCTGCCGCCCGCTGCTCCCCTCAGCAGTGTGCTTCGGTCCTTCTGCCTGCTCTGCTCCCCACTCTGGCTCTGGTGAATTCTCTCACCCTCCCGCGCTTCTGACTGTACCCAGTGCATGTATAAACAAAACAAACAAATAAATAAATAAAACATGCCTCTATTTAAAAAAAAAAAAAAAAAAAAAAGAAAATAAGATGAAAACATATTTTATCTTCTGAAACCTTTCCCTGTTAATTATTTGCACACTCACTCATATTTAAAATATGTTTGTTTATAAATATATATGCTCAAACAGATAATATTGCTGAAAGGAGATATGAGAAACTTGCTGTAGTGTTTGCCTGTAGAGAGAAATTGGGGTCCAAGACTACTGGGTGAGAGGTAGTTTTTTTTCAGTGTGCCTTTTTGTATTTTGTACCATGTACAAATACATCTAGTCAAACACCTTATATTTTAGTTTTTTAGATGGTTGTGAAATATATAACAGTACATAGACTGTGTTGATAAAAACACTGTGCTGATAAATTACTCCAGGTGAGTAGTCTTGAATGAAGCTTATTTTGTCTTAAAAAGTAAAATTTAGTGTTTCAAAGGCATGATTTTAGTCTCAAGTTCACATAAAAATGTCATTGTCACCTCTCCCTAATTGCACAATAATCCTGTCTTCATCATCAGGAGCCTTCATTGGGTTTCTCAGCAACTCAGAGATTATCTGAACATTTTTAAGTAGCCACAGTAGCTAATTCTGTTTCTTGAAGTCCCACATGAACAAATTCTCTCTCAGTTAATTCCTGCAAGGTATTTTAAGAAGCGACAGAAAGTGACACAGAAAGGAAATGTTAGGGGTTTTTTTGATGGTTTATACATGAGCTTATATGTCCCTTGACTAAATACCTTGATCTGTTGCACTTTTGTTCTGTGACCCTCAAAATGGATGTCCCTGCTTGAGGCCATTTAAGTGATAACCAGGAAGTAGTTTAACAACATTACTGGCTTATTAAAACTAAGTAATTTTGTCTTCTTTGAAGGCATGAAAAAAGAAATCCATGGGAAACTTGAACAGTTTTGAAAAGTGATATGATCTCCTTTCTGTTGCTATCTGCAGAAGGAGCAGGTAGGAGGGCCACTTGCCTTTGTTATGAAGCCATTTTGACACAGATGGAAACACAGTAAACCTGCAGCACTCCTCAGGGAGGCTGGATGCCCAGCCAGCGGGTGTGTCAGTTTGTTCATTGTCAAAACTACACCATGGAGTTTTGTTTGTTTCCATGGCTTCTTTTTATTGGTTTATCAAAGGATTAGGAGACAAAGATACTCTAAGACAAGGTGGAGATCCTAGAAGCAGCATCAATTTATGTGTCCTATTCTTTTTGTACACTTAAAATACTAAGTGTGTCTAGTTCCCAAGTCTGAGGACATCCAAATATGCCAGTACTTTCCAAAATACTTGGACAGAGACCATTGGAATGACACTGTAACTCAGTCTTTGACAAAGGGCTCATCCTTGAAGGAGATTGGTCCTACAGGCATCAATTACTGCTGTATTGATACCATGTCACAGTGAAGCATACTGCAGCCTCTTGCATCTAAAAGAATATTTCCACATTTGGTTCCAGCAAGCACACTATTGTGCTATTCTCAAATCCACAGCACAGAAATTATAAGACATCCGCTCATAAACAGAAAGCAAATCACTATTCAGCATTTCCTGCTCTGTTTCCTGCCAATTTCAGATAATTAAAACTTTTTTAAACCTTTTATTCTATTCTGCTTTATTTCTACTTCCTCCACCAAAAAAGAAAGATTTATAAATTAACACTGTGTATATAACTGTAACAACAGCTTTTTCCCTCTTCCCCTTCCCCTGTGGACATTCACTGTCTTCATTGCCACAGGCCTCAGGATATCGTCGTGTTCATGATTGGAGGAGCCACTTACGAAGAAGCACTAACAGTCTATAACCTGAACCGCACCACTCCTGGAGTGAGGATTGTCCTTGGAGGAACCACGGTGCACAACACGAGAAGGTAAGGGCACCAGCCAGGCCTGCAGTTCTGTCCTTTTCCCAGGGAGTCAAGCTTACACTCCTTCTATGTGGGCAAAGTGTGGTCTGCGTGGACCAGAGAGCTGTGGGCTGAGGCATTAACACATGGAATACGTGGCATGAGGGATGTAGACTCTTTTAAGTTCATAAATCACTTAATTAGGTCAAAAACTTGGACAGTAAGAACCAGTCTGCATGTTAACGATTTATGGTCCCTGTGTCCCAAGAAGGAGAAACCACGGACGAGCGCTTGGGAAATACCAACACGTGATGGTGGTGACGTCTGTACATTGTTTCTGTTAGATTGATTAGCTACATTCGTTAAGTCAAATACTTAAATACTAAATGTAAGAAAAATATAAAGGTGAATAATATAAATGTATAAAGGTAGTATACAATAAAGTGAAAGGCTGATTGAATGCCTTAACTGTGGAAGGCCTTGAATTCCAGGCTGAGGAATTTCCACTTTCTTGTGTAGAAAATAGAGAATCATCTGAAGTTTTTAAGCAGTGAATTTGGGAAGGGGTCATTACATTTTAGGAAGACTAATTTGGAATTTAAGTCTAGGAAAGACAGAAGGAGACGAGAAAACCATTGCGTGCTAGTTGGACGTAATGACTGAAGATCCTGAGAGACCTGAGCTGAGCCCTGGATGTGCAGGGGCCTAACATTTTTATGTATATACTTGTGCTTACTATGGCTCCTTTTAAGGGTTTGCTGAAGATGGTGGTGACTGGGGTGATTACTGAGAGGGAAGAGCTTCCCTCGGTATTTATTATGTATTATTATTTGGCTTTTTAATGTAACATTTCCCTTTATAATGGAAGTAATATATACGTAATATATACGTTCTCTTATTTGTTTTAATTCAGAAAAGCGAAAGAGAGAAAAAGCTCCCATAATCTAACCACTCTCATATTTTGACCTTTCAGATTTTTCCTAAGCCTGTGTAAACTTGCATGTGGTTTGTGGGCAGAAATGGATCTCAAGCGTACTTTTCGTTTTGTAATATGCATTTTGTAGTCTATGATAGAAATATCTTCCAGTGTTAGATTATATAATTACTCATTTAAAAATATTAATCGAAGGGTAGGAGTGCCTAGATTTGAATCCTGCCTTTCCTTCTTGACTGTTTTTGGGAGTTTAGGCGAATTACTTAGCCTCATCAGTTTCCAAAGCTCACAGGTCACATTTCTTTTGTGAAATGCCAGTTCTTATTCTTTGCCCATTTTGCAACTGGGTTGTTCGGTTTTTTCTAGTAGTTTTTAAGAATTCTGTCTCTAAGGATATTGCGAATGTTGTATAAAGTTTTATTGTTGTGTATGTGTATTTTTAACTTATAATTTAAAGCTAACAGTGATTTCTGTCTTTGGTGTTGTGTTTAGAAAGTTGTTTCCTAGCCACAATTGTTGATAAATGTTAACCTCTGTTTCTTCCATTATTTGTAAGGCTTCTATTTAGTTTTATCATTATACTCTATCAACATTTTATTTTGGTGCAAACTGCGCAGTAGAATTTTCTTTTATAATTTCTACAGAAATACTACATCTATAGGTGTAATATTATGTATGGAGAGTGTACAAATGATAAACAGCTCAATGAAATATCACAAAGTGAATACATCAATACAACCACCACCCAGATGAGGTAATATGACATTCCCATCGTCTCTGGAAGCCTCCCTTAGAACTTGTGATAATTATTAGACTGCTTGTCATAACTCCCCGCAAACAAATAACTGTTATGACTTTTGTCATCATAGATTCATTGTAAGTGTTCTTAAGAGATACTATGCTCCCATTCCCTCCCCTTCTGTGAAATTTTTTCAGATCACTAGTCCATTCAGTAATTTTCTTTTTAAGCTGTTTCTAATCTATATTTAATATGTCCATTCCGTTTTTAATTTCAAAGATTACATTTTTATGCCTGTAAATTTTACTTCTTTTTCACATCTGCCTGATATTTTTGTTAGTCTTCTTTCTTCATGTTGTCAAAATCTTCATTTTTCTTTAACCACATTAATGCTGTAATCTGAAGTACCGCTTATCTAATTCTGCTGTTGCGTCTGCTGGGATAGTAGCTCATGAGAAATCATGTCTGCATATGTTCTGTAGTTTGGGATTATGAGTTATCTTAAACAGGGTTTTATCTGTGGGACTCACGAGGGCCTAAGTTGAAGAGAATTAACAGTTTGCAACTATTTTTTTATGCTAATTTTTATAGTAAAGGGTCCCTCAACCAGTCAGAGTCATACAAATTTATTTTTAAGTTTCCTTGTTCTCTCCCTATGCAGACAGAAGATATTTGGTTTTTTAGTCTTTCAATGAAAGCCTCTACCTTATGAGACTCTCAGTTCTAATTCCCTTTCTTGCTGAGAGGAATTAGATGGGCCTCCCCGGTGGCGCAGCGGTTGAGCGCTGGGTTGCGAACCTGCCCGCGGCCTCTGCGGCGCCGGTTCGATCCCCGGCTGCTCCCTGGCCACCGGAGGAGGGTCCCACATGGCGCGCAGACCTCTCCTGCCGCCCGCTGCTCCCCTCAGCAGTGTACTCCGGTCCTTCTGCCTGCTCTGCTCCCCGCTCTGGCTCTGGTGAATTCTCTCACCCTCCCGTGCTTCTGGCTGTACCCAGTGCATGTATAAACAAAACCATCAAACAAACAAACAAATAAATAAATAAATAAAAACATGCCTCTATAAAAAAAAATAAAAAAAAAAAAAAAAAAAGAGAGGAATTAGAGACCTAGTCCTGTCTCCTGACCCACTGTGGCTATTAAAATACAGTGCTCATACTTATGAGTATCAGAACGTACTGCTAGGAGTCACAGTACCAGTCTGTACTTACCTACTTAAGTTTTCCTTCCCTTTTTGTGATGGCTCTTAGAGATTTGCTTTACTTTTTTAAGAGGTCAGCTATTCATTTAAAAGGATATTTTTCATTTTTACCCCACATTTCTGTGTAATTTATCGCAAGAGAATTTTTGCCTTTTCTAGTCTGCCTTAATTTCAGACGTGGGAGGGTGAGTGTGGTTATGATCTTGAGAGAGTATAAAAAAATAGTAGTGACTTCATGTGAAATTTCCTCTAATTTAAAAACTATTAGATAATATTATTTGGAAAGGTAGCCTGGCATATCTTAAAATTTCAAATTGAGCGTTTTGAACCTAGTTCAGTAGTCACTGAATTAATATTTTTAAGCACAGGAATGACATAATACTATCACAACTATTTTAGTCAAATTTTTCTCTTTGCTGCAGTTACTAATAAAAATGATTATAGGGCCTCCCTGGTGGTGCAGCGGGTTAAACGCAGCGCCGCGAAGCTGTCTACAGCCTCTGCAGCACCGGTTCGATTCCCAACCGGCCAGGGAGATACCCACATGGTGCGGCAGACCTCTCCTGCCTCGCCCACTGCTCCCCTCAGCAGTGTCTTTGGTCCATCTGCCTGTTCTGGTCCCCGCTCTGTCTCTGGTGAATCCTCTCACCCTCCCACACATCTGGCCTATACCCCAGATCTTGTATAAATAAATAAAAAAACTTTTAAAAAATGATTATAATACTTATTGGGCTGCACGTTGTACTATGTACTTTATTAAGTCATTTAAGCCTTGTATGAGGTATGATCTATTATTATCTCTACTCTATCCATGAAAACCGAGGCATGGAGAGATTAACTTGCCCAACTAAACCTGACTAATAGGAGCTCCTAGATTTGAAGTCAGAGCCCCTGCCTTTAATCACGTGTGTTTCCTTCATAAATATTACTTGACTGCCTGACACCTGTATTGTTCTCTGGAGAGTATTTAATTATTTAAAGTTTAAAGATTTTCTTTATTATCTGATTGCTATATAGGATTTTATTTTTTTGATCTAATTGAGTTCTCTCATATATATTTGTAATTATATGTTTTTAAATAGACTTTGATATCAGAATTCCAAAAGACTAATTGACCCTTAAATAATACCTTTGAGACTATTTTCCACTAATTATTTCTAACCCCATGGCCATTGTTCAAGAATTGTGGCATCTTCTCTTTAGCTTGAATATCAGAAGTTTTTAACTAAATATCTATATCTCAATTTCGAAAATGTATTGGATTGAAATGGAAGATAGGTCAGCAAAAACTTTCATCTTTGTAATTTAGTCATATATAAACAAAAATGCATACATTTTCAGATGTTTGGCTGGTAATAGTACCTGAATAAATTGCATTTTACTATTAAAAAATGAAAAAAAAAACTAAATATCTAGCTTTTTCCTTAAATTAGTGTTCTAGTTCCTAAGCAAATTACCCTCTATGTGAAATTGAGAAAGTAAGGCAGCCTTGCAAAGACCTTAGCCTGGACCCTTAGACTAGTCAGCTTTGGTCTTTCTGTCTCTGACCTAACAACATGCTGAGCAGTACCGGGGAGTGTATTTGAGCAGAAATCCTTAGCAACTGAGGATTTAATGAAGTCTTCAACAGGCTGGTTCACTGACCCTGACCATTGAAACTTTTTAAGAAAAGGGTCTTGCTCTGGTCTTGCCAACCTGGAAAAAAGTTAATGTTTATCATACATAAATCATGTATTATCAGGATTTTATATTTTGTTTTTATAAATACATAGCCTCTGACCAATAAGTGGTGAAATGTATCAATCTAAGACTACAGAGGATGTGTATTATAAAGGCATAAGTAATTGAATGCCATACAGTTTCAGCTTTCAGTGGAAGGGCTTGATTTTTCATGATGAATGTGGGTTACCTTGGGGTTAGGAAATTATTGAATAAGTTTACAACTCTTGATACATGTTGAAATCTTAGATTCCCGGTAAATGAAAAGATTAGTATTTTTTTTAAAAACAGTCTTATACCTGAATATAGTAGGGTCAGTGTGAGCTAGCAGTGAACATCTTGATGATGGAGAAAATGTTGAGTAATTTATTTCAGTGAATTGTTAGAGTTTAATTTTTGTAAGAGAGTTTTTTGTAAAATCTCCTATGTAATAC